TTTGTCAATCTTAAAAAATCATTTCCAAGTAAAAAAAGTCAGTTTGTTGTAAAACTGTGAAGTAACACCTCAATGAACTACATCTCTGGTCTCGCACAATACAGTACAAGGTTTCGGTGAGTGTTAAACGAGTGTAATGTGTAACGTTAATGTCAGCTAGCTAACATTAGCTAACAAGGTACACTCCCGTGTTTTGTTTTAGCAACTGGTTTTCTGTGTACCTTATCCTTTCCAACACTAACGTTATCCACAGCATACACAGCGATCACGCAGTTCTTAACGAGAAAACTAGTTGCTAAAACAAAACACGGGAGTGTACCTTGTTAGCTAATTAACGTTACACATTACACTCGTTTAACACTCACCGAAACCTTGTACAGTCGGTCCCGCATGCTGGCTCTTACGGAACCGACTAACTCCCCTTTTGTGTATTTGCAGCTCTCAACATGCCCAGACGTGTAATGATTTTCACCTCCTTTAATACTTTTCGCCTCATTCTGGTGTTGGTGACGTGTATTGTACGAGACCAGAAATGTAGTTCATGGAGCGGTTTCACACAAAAATAAGTTGTTTTACGACAAACCTTTTTTTTCTTGACTTGCAAAATTATCTTTTAATTAGGTCCCATGGAGGTCCACCGGTAAGGGAGGGACTTCGGCTCTCTATAGAGTGGCGAAGTCACGCCCATCTACTTCCGGTCCATGGGACCTTATTTCGGAAAAATAATGTATTGAAGTCAATGGAGAGAGAAAACTTATCTTTCGATCCCATTTGCATTGTGCCATGAATTACACATATGATGTTTGTCAATCTTAAAAAATCATTTCCATGTCAAAAAAGTCTCAGTTTGTCGTAAAACTGTTGAAATATAAGACTATGAAAAATACGTAACTAGAAAGACTACAAATCCCAGAGTCGCGTAAGTGATGTCACAATTGTTTTCCTCCACCATTCAGATACCTAAGATCAGCGCAATATAGATATAATCTATCTATATGGCGCTGGCTAAGATAAGATAACTTTAACAAGATGCCTGTGTGCTTAGTACCAGGTTGTTATCATACCAGCAATGGGTCTTGCTCGTTCTTTCGCTTCCTGTCTGATGAAAGGACCAGGAGTGTCTGGATCAAGTTAGCTACCTAGCTAGTAGCTAGCATGTTAGTTAGCATTACAGCCATGTCATTTGTATTAGCCTTAACATGAAGTAACATTAAGTAACCCAAAATGTTAAACAGTAAGAGTAGTAGTCATATTTCGTGAACCCTTTGAAGAGTACTGTCACCGGTGTGATCATTCTATAATACACACTTTAAGACCGGGGGAGAAATGCTAACGCTAACATTAGCATCAGCGATCTTTTCTACTTCATGCTATCTGCACAAATGGTTGACATTAAACATTAAAGCTCCCATGTCATGCTTTTCCGGTTATTACCCGTCCCCTTGTGTGTTATGAAGGTTTTTATGCATGTAAACGGTGTGCAGAGTCAAAACCCTCAAAGTACACCCTGTAGCGAGTAAAACTCTAACACAGTTTTCTGTGTTAGAGTTTTACTCGCTACAGGGTGTACTTCCCCAAAACGTCTCGTTGGAGATACATCACTGCCCATTTGAGTCTTCCATTTAGTTCCGGGTACGGCCTGATGTCATGCGGTACCCGGAACGAAATGGACCAATCCCGAAGAGCTATGGCCACACCCAGCAGCGCTGGCCGCACCCTCTGCCAGCCTAACATTTACTGTTGGAAGCGCTGGTTCAGTTCACAATCGATCCAGTCATGCCGATGCCAAGGACCTGAGGCCTGTACTACGAAACTACTACGCTGGTTATCAAGTGGATCGCTCAAGCCAGCCGTGTCCTATCTAGTTAGGTGCGCGTTCACATGAAAGGGGTGGTATTTGGAGCATTCGACCAATCTCAAACACGGACAAGCGTACTGACAGCGCAGCGTCATACTTCCTGAATGAAAAGTGAACTTTAATATTAGTCAAATATGAAGAAGTTAAACTTTAAACATCCATGACTTAAACACTTTATCCAGGATAAAAGCCACATAGCTGCACCTGCAAGGTGAATACAGCTGGTAAAAGAAAAAGTGTTTGAATGCGTACATTAACAGGTTTATGATATCACTGCCCCGTCCAAGACACGAGTGGATCTGACTTTAATTAGGAGAATTTGACTCGAGTGTTTCGTCAACTTAATGTGTTGCTTAAAATAATACTTCTGCATACAGTATGTGACACTGTGAGTGTTGCACGGCCAGATACGGCTCAAGAAGCTGACTCAAATAAGGAAATATATGATACATTATGATGTGATATGATATGAATGATAATGGGACACATCGACGTCTGCACTCACAGTGCCGCGGACTGTACTTAATGTTACTCTGATCCGGTTACTTATGTCGTGGCAGATATTTAAGTAAGCTTTCTTAACGCTAATATTATAATAGTCAGATTGCTCTGAAGATGGGAGGGGATATTCTATTAATTTTCACGTTCACACAGTCAGTTGATTTTGGCCGGCCGTCTTTCCTGCAACGGCAGTTGTTCTGTATTTCCTCTATCCTGTAATATGAATTGATCGCTTTAAACTCCGCACACGGAGCTCTGATTGGTCAGCAGGCGGTGCTTTCACTGAGTTGATCTCTTAGCCTGCCACCTAACCTGCTCCGGAGCAGGTTTGCCGCTCAGCATAAGTTACCATGGAAATCTAGCCTGCTAAAAAGAGAACCAGCGTCGTAGGACCGGAAAGCCCGAGATTTCCCTGAAGTTAGCCGGCTAAGCGAAAATCCAGCTTCGTAGTACAGGCCTCTGTTTCCTGAAATGTGAGGAGAAATCTGAGCTGTTTGTCCTACCGACGGAAGAACCACGACGAAGTCAGTGGTTGAAATTTCTGTTTAACACTGTTCCTTCAGAGGTTCGAAGAACGTTACTGTGTGCCCGGCATTTCACAGAAGAAAGCTTCCAAAACATTGCCCAGTTTGAGGCCGGATATGCACAGCATTTGAAACTGAAGGACGATGCTATGCCTAGTTTGTTTGGACCGTTTGGAGCAGGAGAAGATTCGGGTACACAACCTGTAAGTTTGCATTTATTTGTGTATTTATCAAACAAGGTATCTACCACGACTGTTTAAATGTGTAAACCGGACTGCTAAGTCATTGACATAGTGCTAACTAAGTTGCTAGCGTTTCCATATATCAACTCCAATATCAGCAGATCGCCTTACATACATGTTCCTCATAGCTGGATAATGTCTGCATTCACACACGAAATAGTCATAGACCGTATACTCCTGGTGATTTACCGTACGGTCAGTCTCGAAACGTAATTACATTTTAGCTGGCGTAAGGAGCGTGTATGCTACCGAGCTACACAAACAACGAGGCTATAGTTTGTTTGGACCGTTTGGAGTAGGGGAAGATTCGGGTACACAACCTGTAAGTTTGCATTGTTATTTGTGTATTTATCAAACAAGGTATCTACCACGACTGGTTAAATGTGTAAACCGGACTCCTAAGTCATTGACATAGTGCTAACTGGGCTAACTAAGTTGCTAGCGTTTCCATATATCAACTCCAATATCAGCAGATCGCCTTACATACATGTTCCTCATAGCTGGATAATGTCTGCATTCACACACGAAATAGTCATAGACAGTATTCTCCGGGTGATTTACCATACGGTCAGTCGCGAAACGTAATTACATTTTAGCTGGCGTAACGACCGTGCCAGCTACAATGATTTGAGCAGACTACCCATATAAGATTGCAATTGTAAACATGTTGTTGATAGCCTAATATGAACCACTATCTGTTGTTCATAGTATAGTATAGCATATTACACTGAACAACTAGCCAACGTAGATTAGCATTGTAATCCAGCTGGCAAGCTGACGAACATCAAACAACTAAGTTTCAATAATATTTTGTGATTTGCACTTAATTTCGTTAGGAATGTCTCCCAGAAAGTGTTGCTTTTAGGAAATTGACTGTTTTCATCGGATACAAAATTTATTTTATGAATGTTATTTGTATCTTTCTTAGAGTACATCACAGCAGGACCCCGGTAAACACCACCGCTCCAGTACAGTCGGATGCCAAACAGACCGTACAAAGACTGTTTCTGTGGGAACTCTACAGAGGGCTGAGACACGGTCTGTGGGAACACAGACAGTGGAATTGAAAGTGTCAGTTGCTACACAGTTGTCCCGGGGAACACTGAAGTCGGCACACGTGAGGAGCAAAGGTATAACATAACACTGACATTGACTGTATTTTTCATTTGAGATACCTTAATTGTGCTTTTATTACATGTACAGCACTTTGGCTCAAACAAAAATCGTTTTTAAATGTGCTCTATAAATAAAACTGTATTTGATATTATTGTTTATCACTGAAATACTGTTATGTGGACTACAGGAAATACAGTGCTTTGTGTAGTTCATTCTAAATATTTCATGAATTACTGTCAGATGTACACAAGTTGTTGGCCTTTTAAAATGTATTAGTGTATTATATAATGTACAAAGTATTTATGCATTTTTCCCTTTTATTAACAGGCATCCAGGCCACGGTTTCTTTCCAAAGTGTTGGCACTGAAACTTCCACCTACCCAGATTTCCCCTTGGCCTCTACACCAATAAAGGGCCCAGGACTGGGACCTAGGAAGAGACCTCGACTGGAGTTGGAGGAGGAACAAGGAGAGACTTCAACTGAATTTGAAGAGACTGGATTCGAGTTACCACCCTGATGATTCTGTACTTGCAGAAGAATCTGACGTATCGTAAGTTTGATATATTGGGTATACATTACTATTACTGTACTTCAGAGTTGAAAAAAAGAATATTGGAAATCTAACATGTATTGTTAATTTTGTTTTGTTACATTAGACTTCAGACACGATCCACGCACAGTGACGCAAAGTACATTGTGTTTGAAAGCTGCCTCGGACAGCTGTTTGAAAAATGTCCGGTGTGTTAGAGAGACTGTGATGTCCAAAGACGAAAACTGGGGACTTTTGTGGCGTTCACACAGCGTTGTCCAAGCTGCAGTTACCTCAGACAATGGGAGAGCCAGCCCGTCGTCGGAAGTACCCCGGTTGGCAACTTACAATTATCCGCTGCTACATACTTCAGTGGTGGTTCCTTCTTCCAACTACAAAAGGTATTTTACCATCTAACATCCATAGCATATTAAAATTGACAGCAGTGGACTTTTTCAAAAACGTTTCCTCTTTTTCTATGTATTCATAGATATGCAGAGCCATGCAGCTGGAGATCTTCCAGTATGAGACCTTCAGGAGGCATGCTAGGAATTACCTGGAGCCTGCTATTATCCACAAGTGGAAGACTGATCAGCTGAAGATTTTCCAGCAACTACACCACCAGGGGGGAAATGTCACAGTTGCAGGAGATATGAGAGCAGACTCTCCAGGTAATCGGAAACAAACAAGACAGTCTAGTGCCAGAGTTACTGGTGTATATTACAATTCATCTAAGTTATCCATTGACATTCTGTTGAAAAGCTTTGAAACCTCCTTTATTATATTATCTTCAGGGCACTCAGCGAAGTTCGGAAGCTACACACTCATGCACCTGGGAAGCAATACCATTGTGGACTTCCAGTTTGTTCAGGTGTGAATCTCTTTCTGGGTGTTATCATTTTATGCTTACTGGCTGTTGATGCATGTTTCAGTGTATTTATGCCCTATTTCTTATTCACCAACAGAGCAATGAAGTAGGTGGTAGTTATCACATGGAAAAGGAGGGACTGAAAAGATGCCTAGATCATCTGGAGTCAAACAATTTGGCGGTTGAGTACATTGTGACTGACCGTCATCCACAAATCCAGAAGTTTCTGAGGGAACGCAACATAGAACAATTCTATGATGTGTGGCACTTTGAAAAAGGTATTTATCCCTATATGTTTGAATGGAAGAATACAAAATCAGAGACAGTGTCCTTTGTTCAGATATTCCTTTGTTTTACTATGCAATTTATCCTGAGCTTCTAATCAGCAGCAGACATGACATCATGTCTGGATAGATACATGATTTATATCCCCCTACAATTTGTCCCTCTAATCTGGTCTTTCCTCTGTTATTGTAAACTGTCTGCCAGACCACTTGATCACAGCCCCTTTTGTCATTGTAAATTCAATTTCACTCACTACACTTAGGATAATGTGAGTACTCTTTAGAATGGGAATTTACAGTGATGTGTATATGAATATGCATGGGGGTTTCCTGGGCTGGCTATTAAATGCTTTCAGACAGAAGGGTGTGTCCCTGACCATTGTCAGGCAATTATCATATGGATGTTATGGTTGTAATTAACATGCTGTGCTTACCCTTCTGTCTGCCCCCACCCTTCTTTCCACCACACCCTTGAATATTGTCCATCACAGCACATCATTTACACACTATAGCTTGAATATTCACTTGTGCATGTGTTTTCTTTTTATCAGGTTTGTCCAAGAAACTTGTGAAACTTTCACAGAACAAGGACTGCAAGTTGTTGAAGTGGTGGCTGCACAGCATAAAAAACCATGTATACTGGAGTGCGACGAGCACAACCTCGGGGCCGGAGAAGGTGGCAAGGTAGACGTCAGTCGTCAACCACCTACAAAACATTCACGTGCACGACGACCCCCTATTCCCCAAGTGTGAACATCCTGAAAGAGCCACAACAGATGCAAATAAATGGCTAAAACCTGGTAAGTTCAATATTTATAAAACAATTGGAAATAACAAGTGAGAAATTTAAAAACACTTCACTTCCTTCATAATATCAACAATATTGAATGTAAATATAACATTGTTGTTATGGAAAATGATAGTTGTAATGTTCTAATGGGATGTTGATGTTTTTGTAATTTCACTCAAGATTCAATAACACTCCACAAAGTTGAGAAAATACTCAACAACACGAGAGTTCTCAAAGATGTGAAAAAGCTAAGCCATCACTACCAGACCTCATCGCTGGAGTCGTTCCACAGCTTGATTCTGCGTTTTGCCCCCAAAAATGTGGTTTTCCCCTTCATGGGAATGTTGTGCAGGTAATACACTGTATAATTTATTCTGTAGCATCTTATAACACAGTCACTGTTTAGTGGCATGAGGGTTTTATTCTGTCATAACACAAAGTCTCATTTTATTTTGCTATTCTATAGGTTGTGTCTAGCAGCCATGCATCACAATGAGAATGCTGACCGTGAGCAAGCCACAACAGCTGCAGGACTACCTGTGTACAAATTGGCCTATCCAAAAGCAAGGAGGGGAGAATGTACCGCAAAGCCTGTAAAGAAGGACCCTACATACAGTAAGTTGTCAAATATTTTTGTTTTTATTAAAAACATAACTTACATTTTAAATGATTATTGCACAAAGTACCAATGAACTGGCCAGATATATGGAGAACCGGGATGACTGGAAGCAACGAAGGAGGGCTCGTCTGCGGACGACCTAGAGAGATAGCCACACTGAATTATATGTACAATGAAAGAATAAAAGAAAAATACAAATAATAAATTATTATATGAATGTTATATTTTTCAGTGTACGTGGGTGAGCTGATGAGGCTGGTGTTTGAGGAAGTATTTGAGGAGATGAATAAAATCCCCATCCCAAAGGACCTGTCCACTCAATTTGACAGGCCCTCAAAGGAGGAAGTGGTAGCCTGCCATGTCTCACGTTTTAGTCAAGGGGCGGTCGGAAGCCAACATACTGTCCTGCCAGATCAGGAAACTCCCGGCGTATCCGGCGGACAACACATGACGGGATGACCACTCTGATGCCTCGTCCTAAGAAGCCCCAGCACCAGCTTACAAAGCTGCGATAGGCAAGATGCCAAAAACGCCTATAAGAGGAGGAATGGATGATAAGATATATGTGCTGTCCTGTTTTTCACCCTTACCCTCTGGCTGCTTGAAAAACTGATCTTCCCCACAGGTCCATCTTATCTTATACAGTGTATATATGTATATCAATCATCATTTTGTACATTTCTAGAAATAAAGTTTGATAGAAATACTTGGTAGCCTTTCTTCCCTGAATTATTTGCTCCTAGATAGCATATCATTCATATATAGCAAACCATGATTTGATTTTTCATCAAATACAGTAGTAGTTTATTACAGGTAAAAATAACTTACTCTCCTTCTGTTCTACGCCTCAAAGGTCCATAATCAAACCTATAAATGTTATGGAGGTTCTGCAGGGTGTATGGATTGAAACAGTTTGGCTCTAGTCCGGGGTGGTCAACCATGCACACAATAGGTTCTGGGACTTGCATCATTCGTGTTGCAATCTATAGGAAGATAAGATATTTGTAACATAACACGTTTAGCAATTAACTCCAAATATGGCGAGGTTTACAAAATAAACATTAAATTACTATAGAATAAATAAAAGGGCATATAATAGTCTATTGACTTGACAAGTATGTAGGCCTATGGTGTATATAATGTTGTGTGCTACTGTTGGTGTTTTTGTTGTATCTGTCACCATACTTGCCAACTTTGAGACCTCGGAAATCGGGAGCATTACTAAAGAGACGCGCTACCATGGAAACCAAACAATGGTGTAGCTGTATTAAAGTCCGAGTGGAAACAGTCCAGGGTAAATCTGATTTTGTCAGAAATCGGGAGAAATGCGGGAGAAATATGACCCCGGGAGGAAACCGGGAGAGGGCTATGAAATCGGGAGTCTCCCGCGAAAAGTATGTCTGTTACCTTTCTAATTTCCCTGCAACAGACGTTTTCCACTTCGGTTGGCATGACTGCGCAGTTTCCACACGTGCACCTACATAACAGCAGTTGTAGGTACAGTTTGGTTAGTCAGCGAAACAAACTTGTTACTGTGATGTAGATAAATGATGCAGTTCTAACATGGGGGCTCGTCCAATCTTTGAGACAAAGAGTGAGTATCTGTTTGTGGTTTAGCGTTGATATTGTGTTTGGTAGCATTGGCTGTGAAGTATCTTGCTGTTTAAAAGCTTCCTCAGTTTAGATAGGGGAGTGTCTAGCTGGGCTGAATCAGTCTTTCCTTCAGGCACTCATTTTTTATTTTCGGGGTAATCCTGGGTGGGGATTTATTCCCTGTTGGGGGCAGGCGTTTCAGGGTTTCGGCCGCTGATGTTTGCCTTTAAAGTTGCCTCGAGCCCGGCACGCTCCAGAAGATAGTTAGGTAAGTTTGGTAAAAAAACAAAAAAAAACAAAATTGTAAGTAGCCGTTGATAAGGATGCAGGGTTCCTGCAGGTTTTGCCAACTCAAATTTAAGACTTTTTAAGACCTTTTTAAGACCACTTTGAATAGAATTTAAGACCTATTTTACGGCAAGAAAGTACTGTATGAAGGAAAATTGCTATGAAAGAAGAAATACGTCCCATAAATGTATTCATGTTCAACATAAGAACAATGACTGAACATAACAGCATAACAGTACAGAACTGTGTTAGCGTGTTAGACAAAAAGTGTGTATGTGTCTCTGTGTGCTTGTGTGTGTGTGTGTGTGTGTGGGCTGTGCAATTAATCATATTTTAATCGCAATTACGAAACAACATAATCGATTATTTTGCTTTGCTAGGTTGTGACAGTGCACTACAACATATTTGATCTAATTAATTTTAGTCTAATTTATTTTTATTTATCATATTTGTATATGTTTAGTAGCTTGTGGAAGTGCGCTCCAAAATATTTGTTGATCTTGTTTATTGGTATTTATTATTTTTGATATTATTTATTTAAATGTATCATTTATTTAATTTATTTTTTCCGTTGAATTATACGTTCAGGGTAATCAACAGTTAAAAAGATACTGTCCAAATTATTATTTGTTTTAAAGTTCAATAAATGGATGTTTTCAAAGTCAATTAATAATTGTATTTAATAATCGTGATATCAATTATTGACCAAAATAATCGTGATTATGATGATTGCCATAATCGAGCAGCCCGTGTGTGCGTGTGCGTGCGCGTGCGTGTGTGTGGGCTGTGCAATTAATCATATTTTAATCGCAATTACGAAACAACATAATCGATTATTTTGCTTTGCTAGGTTGTGACAGTGCACTACAACATATTTGATCTAATTAATTTTAGTCTAATTTATTTTTATTTATCATATTTGTATATGTTTAGTAGCTTGTGGAAGTGCGCTCCAAAATATTTGTTGATCTTGTTTATTGGTATTTATTATTTTTGATATTATTTATTTAAATGTATCATTTATTTAATTTATTTTTTCCGTTGAATTATACGTTCAGGGTAATCAACAGTTAAAAAGATACTGTCCAAATTATTATTTGTTTTAAAGTTCAATAAATGGATGTTTTCAAAGTCAATTAATAATTGTATTTAATAATCGTGATATCAATTATTGACCAAAATAATCGTGATTATGATGATTGCCATAATCGAGCAGCCCTAGTGTGTGTGTGTGTGTGTGTGTGTGTGTGTGTGTGTGTGTGTGTGTGTGTGTGTGTGTGTGTGTGTGTGTGTGTGTGTGTGTGTGTGTGTGGTGTGTGTGTGTGTGTGTGTGTGTGTGTGTGTGTGTGTGTGTGGTGTGTGTGTGTGTGTGTGTGTGTGTGTGTGT